TCCGGAAGCCATCAACTCAGCTAAAGAAAATATAAGTGTGCCTTTTTAAAAGAATCCAATTTACCAAAATTAAAATTTAAAAAAAAATCAATCATTTTATACAACAAAGATGAACTCTTCTTGATTATTTAAAAACTACAAGCTACCTTACTAAAAACATTTAAAATATAATGCTTAAGATACACACATATACACACCACCGACTTTAGGGATTTATCTGCTGTGCAAAATGAGGGGACTCCAGGCCTGTACCTTATCCATTTGTGTTCTTAGTGTATTTATCCCTGCTACATTTTGAAACTAAGAGGGCAGTGAAAAAGAGTATATTCTTTGTTGACTTTATAAACATTGTTACATAATGATGTCTTAAGTCTGAAAATACCATTTCCATGATGTGCTGCTACAAATTTCAAAAGGTAAGTAAATTTGGTTTTTACTTTTCTTTATGGGTTTGTTCCTCAAATTTAGGCTCTCTAAGCCTCAACTGTCCCTGAAGTTCTAACCAAACATCTTTCACTGCCCTCTTGAATGCTACAATATCAACTTTAAAATCATTTGTTCACTTAGTAAAAAAATGACTGAGCTACTTTAATTTGACAGCACGGTGGAAAGAATACAAATGTGAGGATGATACAGTCCATGCCCTCATTATCAGAGGCTCCCAGACTTCTCTACATTTTCCTTCCACCATCATTCCAGAAAAAAAAAAAAAAAGAAAGAAAGAAGAAAAGAAATAAAATTAGCATCAGCTTTTCCCTCTTTCTCATTCATCTGAAACCCAGCCTTTTCATAGCTGCTACCCTGATTCGGAAACTCCTCATTTTGCCATCACTCCCACCTAACATTTACTATGCAATTACTGACTAAGCATAGTGTTAAGCATCATGCATGCATTATCTCATTTAATTTTCCCAATAATCTTAAAATACAGGGATTATTATCTCTATTTCACAGATGAGGAAACAGAGACTTAGATTAAGTTAATTTATCCAGTTATGGATTCATTAAAAGACAAAACTAAGTCTAACACCAGAACCCACGTTTTTAACCACTACCACAGTGCATCCTCATCAATGATTTGCAGCAACAATCACTTTCCAGTCTCCATTCTCTCAGGATGTTTCTATCCAATGAATCCTGTGCCCTACAATGCCCTTTCTAAAGAACTACTCTCTCTTGGCAAGTAAAGAGTGCACTATTTGTCTCCTTAACTTTCTCCTAAAGTGATTGGGGGCGGGGGCAGGAACCTACCTTATTCTTTTGTACTACAAAAAAATAAGCACTTAGTAAGTGCTAACTACTTGTTACTGAAGCCAGTTCTCTCCCAAACATTTTTTAAAATTTTATTTTACTATGGCAAAAATATTTAATGAGATCTATCCTCTTAACAAAACCTTAAGTGTACAATATGATACTGTTAACTAGAAGTACAATGCTGCACAGCATATCTCTAGAATGTTCTCATCTTGCTTAACTGAAACATTCTCCCTGAATGAAACATTTTTAACGGCTCATCACTACACATAAAATTAACCCAAATGCCTTTCTGTGTTTGGCACTCATACACTTCCTATATTTATTTCCATTTTTCAACACAAATCCTGTTCTATATACACAAATTATTAAATTTTAATACTTTCTACATCCACCAACAATAACTTACTTAAATATGGAACTTTCCTTTATTTTTGGAAATCTCATCCTCACTATGCTCTAGTTTAACCTGTTGGTAAAATATATAAACCACTGTTCTGATTTCTAAGAGCTTTCTTTCCTAAAAAGATCCATAAAACAAACGCAGAGATAAAATTAGTGTATGACTAAAAGGGAGAAATCGACCTAAAGTTTATCTTCAATTCAGAGCATACAATCTGAATGATTTTTATGCCCTAAGCATGAGTAAAATCATCCATAGCTGGAAAACTCTTGGGTTATTCTCTTTTGCATCCTTTAATTTGTCAGAAGAGTGAAAACGTTCTTGTCATCAGATGACATCAATAAACTAGTACTCCGAAAGACATGATGGTTCCTAAAACAAGCTCCAGTTTACTCATTTACTTAACAAATTCTTGAGAAATAAAAATGAAATAGCTACTAGCATATATTCCAATAGGATACATGCTTTAAATAATCACACAATATATAATTACAAGTTCTAAAAAATAATACAAATATAAAGTCATGACAAGACATTATAATAGAGTACCTGATTTAAGACTCGGTGGGTAGAAGGAAGAGGCAAAGGCTAAGCTAGTATTAAAAAATGAGTTAAACAGGGATGGTCGTGCTGGAACAATCAGCATGTGCAAAGGCCCAGTAGTTGGAAAATAACCTGGTGTGACTAATGAAATGAAAATCAGTTCAGCTAGAGTTTAGTGAGCAAGAAGGGGCTGGAACAAGATGAAGCTAGTGAAGCCGGGAAGAATCAAGTTATGTAGAATCCTGTAGACCACAGTAAGGATTTTGAATTTTACCCTAAATATAATAAACAGTTTAGCGATGGGAAACCCACTGAAGCAGAGAAATAACATGTTATTGTTGAATGGAGAAGTGATTGTTTGGGTTTGGGGAGGAGAGTAAAAGGAGGAAGAATGAAAGAAAATAGGGCAGAGGAGAATACTGAAGTGTTGCAACTTATAGTAACAATTACAATAACAATGGTCATTGGCTATTTACTGTGTGCCATGTGCCATTTAATCCTCATAACAATCAAATAAAATGATTATTATTCCCATTTTTACAGATGAGAATATAAGGAACCAGTGACTAAGTCTGGGTGAAGATTTGCGGCTTGAGCTTAAAAAGTGATACTGAAGATGTACAGAAATACATTCAGACATACAGATGACCCTTGAACATGGGTTTGAAATGCATGGAGTTACATATACACAATTTTTTTTTTCAATAAATCCAGTACTGTAAATGTATTTTCTTTAAGATTTTCTTAACACTTTTGTCTAACTTACTTTATTCTAACAGTACAACATAAAATATATCTAGCATACAGCGTATGTATTAAGTGACTGTTTATGCTACTGGCATTCCAGTTAACAGTAGGCTGTTAGTAGCTAGGTTTGAGGGGAGTCAAAAGTTACATGTGGATTTTCAATTCGAAGGGGTCCATGCCCCTAACCCTTGCGCTATTCAAGGGCCAACTGTGTTGGATATAGAATAAACAGAACTTAAAAATACATGGGATGAAGTAGAAGTCAAGAATGGACTTCCAAAAAAAAAAAAAAAAAAGAATGGACTTCAAGTTTCTAGCTTATGTTAGTTGATAAATGAATATGCCACTTAATGAAACAGAATACTGAAGGGCAAGGAATTTGGTATACAGAGAGAAAAATTAAGACTTTGGTTTTAGATGTATCATATTTGAAATTCCTAAGGAAAAAAAATCAAGTGGAGATGTCAAGCAGACAACTGAACTGGTTATTTAATCTTGAGCTGAAAATAAAGGGAAAAGGCTGGAAATTAAAATTCTTAAGTCTTCAATATACAGGTGGAATTTAAAGCTTAGGACAGAAGAGTAAAAGGTGAACAAGACCCTCACACTAAACCCAGATACTCCATTTCATTTCATCAAACATCTCTCGCCGTGATCATCGATTACTTTGATGTCACCAGGCTTTACAATCCTCATTCAACTTTATCTTTCAACAGAATTCAACACTATTGATTACTTCTTTCATCTCTTTTTACGAAAGACTCGCCCTCCTCTATACACTTATTAATCACCAAGAATCCCTCCGTGCTCCATCCTGGGTCCGTTTTTTTCTAGTACCACACTCTCCTTAGGCAATTTCATCCACATGCATAACTTCACTTACTATCAACATGGCAGATGATATACGCACATTAGTTTATAAAGCCTGCCCAGAACTCTCCTCTGAGCTCCAACTGCCTCCTTGACAGCCTGTCTCAGGCATCTTTTCCAGTTAGAGACTTGTGAGATACTGCCTACCCGCCCCCCACAAAAGGAATTTAAATAGAGCCGAAATTTTGAAGACGATTACCGCAAAACCACTATAGGCCAACTCTCCAGAACACAGGATTTTATCATCAGTGATCATTTCCTTTCATGGATCATGACCTAAAATAGGTAAACCTGACAACCTGGTCTGATAGCTAGAAGACGCGGAACAACCAAACGCACGACAAAGATACAATTCCTGCGTTTTAGTGATAAATGGTTCGGAAAGGGAAGATGCAGAATGGTCAAGACTGAATGTCCAAGGCCTGATGCGTGCGCGGCAACGGAAGACACCTGAAGAGACAGTAGGCCTTGCCAAGGGGCGAGTGGCGGACGACGACAGCCCCCAGCGAAAAGGGGCCAGGTTTGGGTTGCGGAGGAAGAGCGTGACAGTAAAGACCAGGTCAAAGCAGAGGGAAAGCCCGGGGGGGAACCCAAGAGGAGTACCTGTGAGGCCCTGGGAGCGTCGTGGGAGTAGGGGTGAGCTAAGCAGCAGCGGGGCGAACTCCAGAAGAGTGAACACCGAGTGGGCGGACCGCAAGCGGGGAGGGGGGGCTCCCGGGGGGGGGGGGGGACCTGGGGAAAACGGCTCAGTTGAGAAGCTCGTCCGCCGGGCGCGCCTTACCTGTGCCTGCGGGTCCGGAGCCCGGCACTGGCCTGCCGGAAGCACAGAGTCCGCGCGGAGGGGGAGGAGCCGGGGGTAAGGAAGGAAGGGACACCGGACACGAAAAAGAGGGGCCGCTCACTCCCCCTAGTCAGGGAGAGCGGCTGATGGCGGGAACTGTGACCACACGCAAACACGCACGCACGCACGCACACTCGACGCGACCAGACGAAGCGCGTGCGCGCAAGCCTACAAACTCCGCCCCTCCTGAGTCTTCGTCCCGCCCCAGGACGGAGCGAAGACTGGACGAGACAGCTCCGCCCCCTGCGTGCAGTAGTACGCATGCGCACTATCCACTTCGAGCCCTGTGGACCTCCCACCATTTCCCTCCTACACAGCCCAGTTGGGCATGCGCACTACTTGTCCTCCGAGGCTGCTCGGCTTTTCCCGCCCTTCACTGGCCTCTGGAGGAGAGTCAGAGTTCACGCCCCTCTTTGGGGATACCTGCTCGAAGCCAGAGGATGCGGGGACTAGTAGGTGGGGGACGTCCTTCTCGCCCAGAATCTTAAGAGGCAAAGGACAGACTTTTGGATTGTAAACTCCGCCGGGAGCTGGGAGGCGGGAAGAGGTGTGTGGGCGGGGTCAGGGGTGAAAGGTCATAGGGCTGCGAAGTGGGCGGAGCGAGCCGGAGGCGGATGGCGGCTGCCGCGGCTCTTCATCTTTGGCGGCAGAGTCACTGAAACGGGGACGCGGCTGCGACGCGTCCGGCAGTGGGAGGAGAGCGGCGGCCGCTCCCAACATGCACAGCCTGGCGACAGCTGCGGTGAGTGACTGGGCGTTCCGGCCTGGGCCCAGACCCCCGCTAGCCCCGCGTTTCGGCCTGCTCTCCCAGGTCCCCGTGTGGGGCCCGGAGTCCAGCTCCTCCTGTCCTCAATCTGCGAGGCCCCGGCCCCCTCCTCGTCGCGCCTTGACTGTGGTGGAGCCGGCCCCCACTTTGCTCTCTGTTGGCTCTCGCGGCCTCCTGCGCCGCGTATCGCCTTCTTTTCCGGCCCCGGGGCCTGGTCCCGCGTCGGAGCGCCTCCCTCGCGGCCCGGACGGGCCATTCATTGATTCATTGCGCTGACCGACGGTTTCAGGGTGCCGGTTGCGTGCTGGGCGCCGGCGGGGATGAAGGGGAATTCCGTGGTCAATCTGACACGGCCCTTGCTCTCGGAACTCATTGCCCCGGCACTTCGCAGCGGGAAGGAAATGGCTTCTAACTTACACCACTTGCTTTACAGGTGGAAAATAGGAGACCGGGAGAAATGAATAATTATTATGCCCGACTTACGATCCTCTGCGCTTAAAACCTTTTTCCCACATCTCATTTTACCAGGGCGATCTCTGGACAAGAAAAATGGATCGTGTAATACACCTGTCTGAACTAATTTTTTGGCTTTCCACTGCATTTAGATAAAATCCAGACTCCTTGCTGTGGCCTACAAGGCCCTCCCTCTACCATACGTACCATACGGTCTTTACCCACGTTTACTGTCTAGTCTTATGTCACTTGCTCCGTAAGCTCCAGCCACATTGGCCTCCTGCCCATCCTTTATACCTGTGCTTTTACATTCCACTTGCACTTTCCGATCTCTATTCCTGGGACGCTCTTCTTACCATGTACCCCACCCCCCCCAATTGCACACGCACATACACACTCAGCATATGGGTGTAACTGCCTCTTCTTCCCTGGGGTCTCTTCCTAAATCTTCCTAGAGTAACCTTCCCTGACCACTCTATTTAAAGAAGTTCTGTAACCCCCAACTTTCCTGTTAAAAATATCTTTCTCAGCGCTGATCTCAATTTTGTCATTTTTGTATTCATTTACTTTCTTGTTGACCTAAGGGTAAGGAGGAAGTCCCGGGGTCCTGTTTACATGGTTACCCCAAGTGCCAGGACAGTTCCTGGCACAAAGTAAGGGCACAAATACTTTGCTGGATGAAAAAGTATGAGGGAGCTGACTACTGAGCGCACACACCCATGATGGGAAAACGAGATCGTATGATTGGAGTGCACTCTTCTGAATACTGGTGGCATTTATCAATTACACTAAGATGAAGTGACTGAAGGGGGTAGTGTACTGACATTGCGTTATCAGGCAAATGACTTAAGTATTAAATAGAAGACCAAAAAAATTGCTTTTACTTTAAATATAGAAAGTGAAAAGGTATGCTGAATATGACCCGACTATAGAATATATTGTCATTTCCAGGGCCAGTGGCATCTCTGCCCCTGTTGCCATGTTTCTAAGTATTTGTAAGTACTCAGAGTGGATACCTTTCCATCTTTCATTTAGGTGATTGCAACTTCCCCAGCATTTTTGTTTCTTCTCCCAAATTATACATGTAATTTGGGAAGAAACAAGTCAGATGATGAGGTTGCTGAGGAACACCTGGGTGGCTCAGTCAGTTAAGCCTCAGCCTCTGGCTCAGGTGGTGATCTCAGGGTTCTGGAATCCAGTGCTGCATCGGGTTCCCTATTCAGCAAGGAGCCCGCTTCTCCCTCTGCCTGCTGCTCCTCCTGTTTGTGCAGGCGAGTGGGCGCTCACTCTCTCTGACAAATAAAAATCTTTGGGGGGGGGGGGGGGGAGGGGGTTTTTGCTGGTGGGGGGGGGGCAATTTACACAAGGGATTCTTCTAATCTTGGCTTGTCTAGTTCCTAGACATCTGATTATATTTTCTCAGGCTTTGATACTAAACTGCTCTTTTCCCCGTGACTCTCTAAACTCTATTTCTATTCACTTCCTTTTCTTTTCACTTGTTCCCTAATGCATCCTTTTTTTTTTTTTTTTGATTTATTCATTTATTTTGAGAGAATGGCATGGGGCCAGGGGAGGGCGGGGCAGAGAGAGAGAGAGAGTCTCAAGCAGACTCCCTGCTGAGTGTGTCGCTCCACCCAGGGCTCAGTCCCGCAACCCTGAGATCATGACCTGAAATCAAGAAGTTGGATGTTTAACCGACTAAACCATGCTGGTGCCCCAAACTAATGCATCTTTTGAACAGCCATTAGAGCTGTGCTTCATTACTTGTGATAAATATGCAATACTCGTTTCTTCAGTTACATTTACAGTGCTTTACATTGATTTAAAATTTAAGCTTTTAGATAGATTTTCATCTATTAATGCTATTGGGCTCCCGCAGAAGCTCTGAGAAGTTCCTTTGTACCACTCATTCATTAGACTATTTGGTCACTGAGGAAATAACAGCATAGAAAAATTGAGCCACCTCTTTCCCAATCCTTCACGCATTCTTATAGACTAAACTGCCTGTATTACTCTGATCTACATAAAGGACAGTAGTGGTATATATTACTGGAAACTGAGAAGAGTTAATGATAACATGCAACAGTTCCTATAATCTAAGTTACTTGAGAAGATTTTTTTTTGTTTAATGATGACAAGTTTTATACTTGTGTGTACCTTTATTTTTCTCTTTTTTAAAATAACAGGTAAAGGGGCGCCTGGGTGGCTCAGTGGGTTAAAGCCTCTGCCTTCGGCTCAGGTCATGATCCCAGAGTCCTGGGATCGAGCCCCGCATCGGGCTCTCTGCTCAGCGGGGAGCCTGCTTCCTCCTCTCTCTCTCTCTCTCTCTCTGCCTGCCTCTCTGCCTGCTTGTGATCTCTGTCTGTCAAATAAATAACTAAATAAAATCTTTTAAAAAAAAAATAAAAAAAAAAATAAAATAACAGGTAAGGGATGCCTGTGTGGCTCAGTCGGTTAAATGTCTGCCTTTGGCTCAGGTCATGATCCCAACGTCCCGGGATCAATCCCACACTGGGCTCCCTCCTTAGCGGGGAGCCTGCTTCTCTCTCTACCTGCTGCTCTCTCAATCTCTCTGACAAATAAAAAAATAAATAAATTTTTAAAAATAAAATAACAGGTAAATCATCACTTCAGCTAGGGAGATAGTACTATCAATGGAGAATGTGATCACATGAACATAGGATTTTATTCACTAGAGGGAAGAACTGAGAATTTGGCAAGTATCTTAAATTTTGACCCTTGAATAGTATTTTATTAGGCTAGAAATACACAATGTGTGCTTGTCATACTTTATAGCATATATTTTAATGTTGCCATTATTGCCACCACACAATATAATTTCTCACATCGGTGAAATAAGGACAGAAATACCATGCAAGATTATCCTAAAGATGAAATAAGAATATCAAAGTACTTGGTGGTTGGCTGGGTATAGTCCTTGTTTATATGACTTGCTCCCATACTTGAGCCTTGGGGCTATAATTCCTGCCTCAACAAAGTAACAAATCACTTTGTTGTGGACCTTGGAGGTTGTTTCAGAGTAGTAGAACTACAAATCTTCCTATACTATCTGGGTCTTTAATGAATGTTATGCTAGGTGGCTAAAATAGTCAAAGGTAAGCCTTTAAGAGACTCATTGGCTATGCATTTTTTTAAAAATTTCCCCACTAGGAGACCCTGGGTGGCTCAGTCGGTTAAGCGTCTGCCTTTGGCTCAGGTCATGATCCCAGTGTGCTGGGATCAAGTCCTGCGTGAGGCTCCCTGCTCCTTGGGGAGCCTGCCTCTTCCTCTCCCTCTTCCTGCCACTCCTCCTGCTGGCTCGCTTGCTCTCTGTCACTCACTGGCTCGCTTGCTCTCTGTCAAATAATTTCCCCGCTACTTTGCACTGGCAGTTTTAACATCCTTATATACATGTTTTCCCCTCATTTTCCACCTAACCAGTAGCATCATCAGTACATCTTTTTGTGGGAGCTGTGCCAGACTCCCAGATACTCTCCTCTTCGGCAAGTAAAAAGAACATTGTGCACTCTGAGGGATCTGATTCATTTTTTTTAAAAAAAGATTTTATTTATGTGAGAGAAAACAAGCAGGGCAAGGTGCAGAAGGGGAGGGGGGGGAGAAGTAGACTCCCCACCGAGCAGGGGACCCGACGTGGGGCTCAATCCCAGGACCCCAAGACCATAACCTGAGCTGAAGGCAGACACTGAACCAACTGAGCCACCCAGGTGCCCCGTGAGGGATCTGATTTAAACACTGTCTCCTCCCGTGTCTTCTGTTGAAGCTTCAAGCACATTGCCTAACCTTTTTGGTTGTTCATTTCCATTTCTGTAAATTTTTTTAAATTTATGTATTTGAGACAGAATGAGAGAGAGCATGAGAGGAGAGAAGTCAGTGGGAGAAGCAGACTTCCTCCTGAGCCGGGAGCCTGATGTGGGACTTGATCCCGGGACTTGAGGATCATGACCTGAGTCGAAGTTGCTTGACCAACTGAGCCACCCAGGCACCCCAACATTTCCATTTTTAAAAAGATATTTTGAAGAATATTCTGGCCCTTACAAAGATATGAGGATAATGAAGCTAATGTAATATTTCCCTTTGGCCTTATTTAGAAAGTGTGTTTTCTTGGATTATCATCATTATGTAGACACCAAAGCTACATGTTGAGTCATTTCCAGACTTAGGAAAATAATTTCTCATTCAGTCTTATGCCATTCCTTCTTTTTTTTTTTTTTTTTTTAAGATTTTATTTATTTATTTGACAGAGATCACAAGTAGGCAGAGAGGCAGGCAGAGGTGGGGGGGGGAAGCAGGCTCCCTGCTGAGCAGAGAGCCCAATGCAGGGCTCGATCCCAAGACCCCGAGATCATGACCTGAGCTGAAGGCAGAAGCCTCAACCCACTGAGCCACCCAGGCGCCCCTGCCATTCCTTCTTTATTCGCTGTCACATATTTATTGGTAGGAAAACCAACAGGTATTTTGGCCCTTGAATATAAAGTTATATTGAGAGATTTGGTTATTTTCTG